AGCACATTCTTTTCCGGCGCTCACGTTGGTCGAACTACGACTGGGATGCGTGGGCGAGCTGGGAGCTGCTGCCGTTTGGGTGGGGTGCGATTGGAGCCTTTGCATGTGGGTTCGTGGGCGCTGCGCTTGGGATGAAGACGGCGTGGTACACTGCGCCTGTTGCTGGGATGATTGGGAAGAAGGGTGGGAATGTCGGTCACGAGCTTACGGCGCTTTTTTGTGGCGTTGCGTTTCCGGTGTTCAGGTGGATGGAGAAAAGGTGGACTGGAAAATGAAGGATGTGGACCACGGGGCGCACTCTCAGTAAGTCGTAAAAGCTGGAAATAAAGATACATTACCCTATCTGTCTACAGAGAGTTTTTAGGATTTAGAACAACTTTTGTATCTGTTAATGTAGTCGCCAGGCTTGATCTTTTTCCGGCTTTCACGACTTACCAAGAGGCGCAATACACATGAATGCAATCCATCCACTCTCTGTTCAACACATTCTCGTACTGTGTCATGATCGTCGCCTGGCGTTTGTTGTGCTTTCATCCAGAAATGCATGCCTGCCCAATTCATGAAAAGGATAATAAAACACCGTGAAAGACGACAGCATTAATGTGGCATACAAAAGTTAAGGTTCGTTGTTCGTTGTTGCACGTCGTGACACAAAACCCTGGACGCAAAGTTCAAGAGACGATCAATGTCAACATAAATGTGCCTTGCAACCCCACTGCACGTCACACAACATTGCACGATCTCCCATGGCGCAGCGTCGATCGATGCACAGCGCCAATCGGCATTGCCCTAGCGGCCTTCCCGCACATGCAGCCGCCAACCAGCATTTCCCGTCATTCTTGTCATCGCCGTTCAACACCTACCTTGTCAGTCTAAACACCCAATTCGTTAACATGTGGCTTTCACGATTGAGCGGCTGCGGAATCGCTCGCTTCGCACACGAGCGGGCTGCTTGGCGCTGCTCAGCTGGGTTAAGCTGGGGAGCGCATTGGCTGTGCGGGGCCCATAGCTGAACCTTCAAGGTGTTTCCTGCACTGCACGGTGTGAGATGCCTTCCCAAAGAGAGGAAACTACTCCGTTGCCTCGCAGCTCCTGCGCATCTTTACCTGATGGTGGCTTCCTACTAAAGTCAATGTTGCTCTCCGTCATTCCTGTCGCAGTGGTCGAGCCAACTTCTTCCACAATCTGGCGTCCGTTGGTCTACACATATACACATCATCCTTCGAATCCTCGCATCCTTTTCTTCTTCTCCTAACAATTACGTACTGTTACCACCTAGCGCTCACCGTTTCCCCGTCATTTAACAGGAAAGTATTATCATCAGTTGACGCACACCTACATCAACATGGGCGACGAAAAACCGTGGGGACGACGCATAGTCATCTGCTGCGACGGTACCTGGCAATCCAGCGTCAGCAGCAAGGACAATGTACCATCAAACATCACCAAACTATGTCGACTCATCGCCCGCACCGGCACCGACCAGCATGATCCTTCGAAGAAATTCCACCAGATCGTCTACTACGACAGTGGTGTAGGCACCGGCAACCTCAGTAAATCCGAACAGAACCGACAAGGCGGATCAGGCGCAGGGCTTGCAGAAAATGTCATCGAGGCGTACAACTTCATCGTCATGAACTACGAACCGGGAGACGAGATTTTCAGCTTTGGCTTCTCGAGAGGCGCGTACACTGCAAGAGCTGTGGCTGGGCTGGTATCTGATATTGGCGTCATCAAGCCAATCCACATGCAATTCTTTCCGACCCTGTACCGGACTTATATGACCAACGATGAGGGCATCGAATTCCGGGAAACACAAGCCTGGAAGGACTTCGTCGAGGGCAAACTCAGCCAGAGAGGCGAGGAACTGCGCAGACAGGGTGTGCAGCTCGATCCGACCAACATGCAGCAAGTGGCTGAAGTTTGGGAGATCCGTCCCCATGGTGAACTGGCGGTCAGTCCGGAGAGTCGGAAAGTGAAGGCTGTAGGCGTGTTTGATACCGTTGGCAGCTTGGGCGTCCCAGATTTCCTGGGCATCTCTTTTGCCAGTAAGAGGGCAAAGTTTGGCTTTCACAACGTGAAGTTGACCGAGCGTATGTGTGTATGATTGGACACTGGACGTCGTCGCTAATAAGAAGCAGATATCGAACATGCGTACCAAGCGCTGGCATTGGACGAACGCCGCAAAGCCTTCAGACCGACACTCTGGTATATTCCAAAAGACATACTGCATGACCCGGACCGGAACACTCCAGAGTTGAAGCAGGTTTGGGTGCGTAAACTGGACCTCACTACTAGTAGAGTTGAGCTAATTTGTTCGAATATAGTTCCCGGGTGTTCACATCAATTGTGGTGGAGGCGCGCAAGACTGTATCGATGAAATGAAGGGCGACAGCGAGAGTACGTTATGCCTTTCAACAATCAGGGCTTCAATCTAACATCGATGTTAGATTTGTCTACGGCCACCCTGGCTTGGATGCTACAGTGCATATCGCCCCATCTGGCCATCGATTTAGAAGCATTCACCATGGTCCTGGATCAGTACAAGCGTTGGCTAACGCGCATTACATATGCTTGCACGTACCATCACCGGACCCTTCGGGACAAGGCCATATCTCGTCTTCCAAGAGCACCAACCGTGCCTTTTATCAAATACCCGCCCAGTCAACTCAATCCACCAAAGCGCGACCCTCCACACGCTCACACAAACTTCGATTTCAGCTGGGGCGTCGGCCCGCTCCTCGACTCCTTCAAAGGCTTTTATCATCTCTTGGGCTCACATATGCGTGTGCCCGGTCATGAGGACGTCGAGATCTTCGACGAAGAAGAAGGACACTACCACTGGAAGCCGATTCGCGACATTGGCGAAACGAATGAATACGTCCACCCCATCGTACACCACCGCAGCATAGCACGCGGCTGGGACAAGCACAATCCGCTCAAAGACCGCTGGACCCGCGACAACTGGCGCGGCACGGACGGGAAGACTCGCTTCTGGTGGTACATGGACGGCGAGAAGGACAAGATTGCGATACCTGAGTGGGCGATTCTGCCGGATCAGGAGGGCAAGCCGAACTTTGAGCGTGCGTGGTACTCTATGTGTGAGAAGAGCGAGAAAACGATGGCTGCGCTGAGTAAGGTAGTGGAATATAGTGAGGTAGACTTTCTGGAGGCTTTGGATCGGAAGATTGATTTCGCGTTCGACGACAAGCCGCAGAATCAGTGGCCTTGATGGGGAGATTGGAAAGACGTACGTGAGAGCCATTCCGCGGCCCTATTTACCTAATACAAATACACTAATTCACTCTCGTGTATCACCTCCATTATGTCAAATGCCAAGCTACCTAAATTTGTGCTGCTCATCAATATCATCTCCGCCAGTGCCTCCCGTATCGCCATCATCCACATTTTGGCCCGTATCCTCATCAGAAACCACAATCAGCGGCCTACTCTGGACGTTTCCACCCTTTCGGCCCATTCCTTTGGAGTCGCCACCGCCACGAGCGCGATTCTGTCGGGAACGCTTCTTGGAGATGAACTCGCCCTTCTCTTCCAGATTCCATGGGCATTTCTTGCCTCGATCATTCTCATCGTCTTCGATAGTAGTGGGGGGCTGCTTGATTGGCGATTTTGACCGGGATTGGGAGCGCGATACTGAAGCATTGCAATCTTGGCGCACATGCTGGAGGACAGCCCTGAGTGTGTCCCGTGAAGCAGCCTTAGAGAGTGGAATATCGCTGCGCGAAACGAGGAAGTCAACGAGGTGCTGCATAAAAGTTAAAATGTTGCAGATGATTTGCTTGAAACCGTTACTTTAGTATCGGCATCAGACATGCCCTAATCCCACCAGTCTAAGCCATTGCCTACAGAGTCGGTCATAAAGTCCTCTACCTATTTACGCGTAGTAGAGCGCTCGTCGCTGTAGAAGTTGTCAGTTTATGTAACGTCCTCTGCATCTCGCTCAGGAAAGCTGAGTGACTACTGTTGCAAACAATATTCAAGAGCTAGATGACGAATATTCACCTCGACATCTACTTCTTTCCTCATTACTTCATCGTCTTCCTCAAGGAGCTGAGCCGCCACGCCCATCAACTCAAAATGGGTCTTTATTCTAGGGAGATGGACGAGCAACACGTCTACAGCAAAATACCACTCTGCGACCGCCTCTTCTAAGGTTTTGTAATTGATAGAATGGTCGGCAATAACGTTTGCTCTCAAGGAAGGTGCAAGGGCGTTCAGTGAAGGTCAGAATAGGCTCGAGCATATCAGTGATATCGTTCTATGTTTTCTGCGTGTACAGCTTTACCGCACCAAGATCCTTAAGAGCAGCTCGCGTTCCTTCTGATATCTTGGTCCTCTTGTGAACAAGCGGGTAGCTTCGAGAATCTCTCGCGGGCTTCTTCAAAAGCTAAGCTGGGGCCTTTCGCAATTCCTGGTGATGCGCCGAGGTGGGATTCGTCAACCACATTCTCTTGCAGAAGCGTGGCGTATTCCTTCATCAAGGCGTCCTTGCTGCCATAGATCCAAATCTTGATGAAGGTTTTGACCTAGACGAGCTCTTGGAGATGCACTGTCATGTAGTACGTCCCAACCAGGTCCGGTTGCTATTGTACGTGCTCATCCCAAGCCGTTCGGATATTGATCTTAGCATTGCGACGTCAGTGCTTGTCTTGTAAATGTATAACCTGAACAAGCAATAGTGCGTCCTGAAGTTATACACCAACGTATTATTGACATGTAATGATTAGAGGTACACACAGACGTGCTAGTTTACTAATATAAAGTTATAACGCTGCGAGGATATTCAGGCCACCTCGTAGTTAGTGAGACAGTGCCTGTCTTGGAAGGAAAGAATAAGGGGTCCTCCGTGACTAGCGCGGGGCCACGCAAAAAGGCAACATTTGCACCTTCCATGCGCCAGTTTGATATGGTCATACAAACTATATCATTCACCATCACTTCTGAAATAGCAAGAAAAGAGCTATGAGAGCAAAAAGAAGTGGACGGGCGGGTGATCGAAACCCGGACCTTCCGCAGGCATTGGAGATGCAAAGCGGACGCTCTACCACTGAGCCACACGCCCTGTGATTATTCTGAACTTTGTAAAATAAATAATAAATATCGGACAACAAAATCTAGATGGGGGCTGATGTGGACAGCCTTTGGTCTTATCGTTCCCTCCTTATCCTTTTTTGTGTAGGACCCACAAAAAGGTTGTGACAGCATCCAAAAATTGCAAGGATATACCGGGCCCGTTTCACAGCCACCGACTTGGCGCATGCTCGGACGTACCACTGCGTCAGCTCCGCGAACACCAGCTGCGCGTATGTCTTACGGCTAAGGACACATCGTTACTCATTCTCCATTCCTCGTCGCGACTCAACACCCAAAATACCACTGTCCCACAAAGCAGTACTGGATCATTTCCTCTCGGAGTCGAACGCGCGTCCGTCGCAAGGAAGCTCGGCATTGAGCTCGCAAGCTGTCAACAGCCTCACAAACACCACAACCAGCAAGATGGGGTCATTAGGGACATACTTTATGGACGTCATCTACTCGTTTACAAATTGCATGGTTTGCTTTCCGAGCTCGCCACAACTCAAGATAAACAGCCGGAGCTTCAAGATACTGCGGCTACTCGGCGAGGTACGCCACCAATGAATCGCAATTGCAATCGCATTGACTAATTGCGACGACAGGGCGGTTTTTCATACGTCTATCTTGTACAAGACAACTCAAACCAACAACTGCTCGCTCTCAAGAAGATTCGATGTCCCTTTGGCCAGGAGAGCGTGAGCCTGGCGCTCAAGGAAGTCGAGGCCTACACTCTCTTCTCGCCGCACCCAAACATTATCCACTCAATAGACTACTCAGTTGAGACCGACAAGTCAGATGCATCAGCGAAAACTGTATACATCCTCCTCCCATACTATCGCCGCGGCAACCTCCAAGACATGATCAACGCGAACCTCGTCAACCACACAAAGTTCCCCGAGCGGAGACTCATGGTCTTATTCCTAGGCGTGTGCAAAGCGCTCAAGGCCATGCATCAGTACAAAATCAAGGGAGGCCCAGGTGGTTCGCGCAGTGAAAACAAGGCCAAGAAAGTCCGGCGAGAAGCCGCGCGCGCAGACGCCCAAGCAGCCGAGAGCATGGAAATGCGCCCGAGCCGGAAACACCGCGAACACGACGATGACGACGAGCAAGAAGCTGAGGGTCTGCTGGAGGAGACAGAAGTCACAATGGCGCAGGAAGGCATTGCGCCGGGTGGTGAGCGCGCATACGCGCATCGCGACATCAAGCCTGGTATGCCTTGACTATACTAGACCTTGTATTGAATTCCAGGCTAACGCAATCGCAGGCAACATCATGATCGACGACGACGGCAAATCCCCCATCCTCATGGACCTCGGCTCCCTCGCGCCCTCACCCACACCCATAACATCCCGCTCCCTCGCCCTGCAAGTCCAAGACACAGCCGCCGAACACTCCACCATGCCGTACCGCGCCCCCGAGCTCTTCGACGTGAAAACCGGCAGCGTAATCGACACAAAAGTAGACATTTGGTCGCTTGGCTGCACACTGTATGCGTGTCTCGTCGGCAAGAGCCCGTTCGAGTCCCGCTCGGATGAGACGGGTGGCAGTCTGAGTATATGTGTGCTTGGCGGCGATTGGAGGTTTCCCGACGAGGGGCCGCAGCGGGGCAAGGCAAAGCAGACGGAGGAGGCGATTAGTGATGGGGTCAAGGAGGTGGTGCGCAAGTGTTTGAGGCTGGAGCCGAGTGAGCGGCCGGATGTGGATGAGTTGATTGTGATTGTCGAGGAGCTGTTGCAGAGTTTGCCTGAGGATGGGGCGGAGGACTGAGGGTGTGAAGGCTTTAATGTATGTTGAAACGGCATGTTACACCATCACCTTTCCCACCGCGGTGGAAACAACAAATCCATACAGCAAACTCCCATTCAGTCTACAAGTATCCCCCACGTCCCTTAGCATCCATCTCCCACTCTCCCCACACACATAACACCATACCACCCAAAACCCAAAACCATGGCCATCACCATACCCATCCCCAATTCCACACCCCCCACACGCCCTCTCCCTCCGACCCGCTCAACGAATACCTCTCCGAACTCGCCGAAATCCTCCCCGATCACGCCCACAACGTGGATTTTGTGCGCAACGCACTGCAGCAGCGGCACGAGAGGTACGAGCCCTGGGAGAAGAAGACGCGCGAGGCGTTGTAGTGCAGTGGGAAAAGTGAAAGTGAGGTAGAGCGTGAGATGGGGGAAGTTAATAAACTTGTAATATTATATCAAAATATAAGAGGTCCTCGTTGAGTAGCTATATGTGGCGAAGATGAAAAAGTTGTTTAAGACTGTGGCAGAGGAGGCCAGATCCGTAGTAGAGGAAGTGGAGGACTTTGCGGAGAGGTTAGAAGATGTAGTTGCGAAGATGGGGGAGTGAGTTTGAGAAGTGAGTATATTGTGTTCGGTGAGGAAATGTGTGGGAATAATTTGATGTCAATTAATTTTCTCTGAAGTGCACGACGAACATGCTGTGCCAATAACTCAGTCGTCATCAAACCTGGGACTTGAATGGAGAAGTAGCATGTGTCTTGTTGTGCATTAAGCTTTGCTACAGGTATCGTACCCTCTCGCACAAATTCCAAACACTAGGGCCTACCGCCTCTCAAATGCCCATTTCCTCGCTAAGTAACTTCCAATACTTCCTTCGCGCAATCTAGAAACGTCTGCAAATACTTCAACACCAGCTGCCCCTTCTCCAGCGCCTCCTGCCACTTCATTCGTAGCATACCATCGTACGCCTCTCTCATGTTATCCTCCATCTTGTTAGGATTACCCATCTGCATGTGCAGCTCGGCCCATTTTTTTCTCTTCCACGTTTCATACTCTGCAGTTTCCTGCTGAATGTTCTGAGACATTTGTTTGATGGATAGAGCATGTTCGATCATGGATTGCCTGAGGTCAACTAGTAATTTGTTCACTGGGTCAGCGGGATCGATGGTGTAGGGTCTTTTGTAGGTTGGGCGTGGGAAGCTGATGGACGTTGGTGGGTCCGGTGAAGTGTTGGTCATGGTACCTAGGTAGATGTTGGGGAAGAAATTGGGATTGATGAAGATATGATTAGGAGAGGGCGGCGTAGCTTTATGATATATAGGCCGTAGGTGTTTTACACACATCAATTGTTCGATTCTGCTTGACATGATAGCAATTACTACTGTCACGAGCTCTACGCTAGGCTAAGGTTGTAGAAGAAAAAAAAAGCGCATGAAAACAAGGAGCCTGATACTCGTGTGTAAACAGCAAGCTATTGCGTAGACGCGAGGCACCAAAACTCTCCCGCTATTATTACTTTGATTATATTGTCAACAAAACACAAATCTTGCACATACGACCATAGGATCTTGAATAACAGCGCTTCCCGTTCGCTCAGCGGTACTTAAGCAGGATACCGGCGGATTAGTAGTCAGGTGGGTGACCACTGGCGAATACCTGCTGTTGTATGTTTTTGCCATTCTTTGTGCACCTGAAATGGGATGGAAGGAAGGAGATAGTAGAGGAAGAACTCGCTCGTCTGTTGTCTCTACCAGCTCAACGAAACGTGTCCCATGACTTTATGTAGCGATTTAGGGTTAGTTAATCTCGAGCATGCAATAGCCTTTTTTCCTTGTGACGAATCGTTTGTGTGACTTGCGACGATATCGGTGTGAGAACTATTGCAGTTTGAGTTCAGGGGAGATGAGGTGATAGGGAGCGGTTGAGTTTTTCACGCATAGTATTAAATTATAACTCAGGGCAATAAATACGTGTAGAGTGCTGACTAGGTATGCGTGTTGGAATGTTTCGCACGTGGCTGATGTGTGTTGGTAAAAACCGTATGATCCAAACAGAACGTGTAAACTTGCGGAACTCCGGGACTGCTAAATTTCGAACTAACAGACGAGCTCCCGCATTCTCAGGCCGGGTTTTTCTTTACTCGTTTCTGAAAAGTACGAGTGAACTTGTTCCACCCGCTCCACGTCACCGTGACCTTGCACCCCGGATTCCACTCTTGCACAAGCGTCCACAGCTTGTCCAGTTTCTCGTCCACTTCGAGGTGATACTGTTCAATGTCTTCATAGTACACCGTGGGAGAGCCAAAGGTCAAGTAGATATGCTTCAGCGCCGGTAGCCGTTTCATCCACGACATATCTGCTTCGTTTACCCAGTTTGGCACGGGGCGGCCGAGAAAGGGAGTAATTGGCTTTTCCATAGCCCATTTCTCGAACTCCAGTGCGCGGATGGCGGCTCTATCGGCGAGTGGAATACGAGGGAGCCATTTACGGACGCTGTGATTGCTTTGGATGATTACTCGAATGATGTTGTACCGGTAGAGGGCGTCGGACGTTTCGTTGAAGATCTGGCGACATGTCATGCGCGGGTTGCAGGTATCTCGCTTACAGCCCTTTCTCGTGACCGGACAGAAATAACTGAATTGAAAGACATAGGAGTAGATGTTGTCGCGGACTTCGCGTGGCAGTTGGAGGAGTGGAGATGCCACGGGGGGCGAATGGTCAAGTTGCAATAACATTTTGCTAAAGGAACTGAGTGCGGTAGGAAAATTGAGGAGACTTCAATTCATGATGATTGAATATATCCAAATGTACCTGCGTGTGAGGGTCATCGGTACCATGTTTGCTGTTGTGGGCCCTCTCACCGGGACGACGATATGATTTTGATGGACCAGATCCATGTGCTCACAACAAGTTAGAAGTTACAAGGTTTTCGCGTTCGTTCCAATGTGCTAGCTGAACATCGCAACGACTGTGCGATTGCTCGGAAAGTGCGTTGTCTAATGAAGGCCAGGACGATGCACCAATGGTTGAGGTTTTCACGTGCGAAATGAGTCGCCAAGGCGATGACGTGCCGGCAAGGTACGACCCTGGCTTCGAACACCAAATGGTGTTGTCAAGCGAGCCGGGAGAGCCGCGCGCTCGAGGTTTGATATGCCCGCGAGGCCCCAGGCTGAGAGTGCTGGCTCCATCTATTCCTATACACCTCGGCGCCTGCCTTGATTGATCCC